GCATATATGTTTTAAAGGTATCGTAGTCAATTAAAATGTTTCATAGATACTGATATTTATACATAGTAAATAAAGAATTAAAAGAGATATTAGGGGTAATTTGGAGATTTAAACATATAAGTATATGATGACAATTTAGATATTCAAATATTGAAGGATAGTGTGGTATTTAAAATATTTTATAAGAGTAAAATAGTGAATAAATTTTTTTTTATGGTATGACAAAAGTTTCATTCTGTATTAGTAGTATAGATGGCAAAAAAAATATATATATATAGTCATAATGTTATCTATATATTTGAAAAAGGTATGATTTATTGATAAAGTTTTTGAACACTTTATTAAAAACTATAATTATGCATATATTTTTTGAAGAGTAATGTAGTCAGTTAATTTTTTTTTTTATAGATATTGATATTTATACAATGATAATAGAGAAGTAAAAGAAATGCTATAGGGTAAATTGGAGATTTAAATACATAAGGACGTGATTGTAATTTAGATATATAACTATGGAAAGATAAGATAATATGATAATATGATCTATTGGGAGTAGCTGGATTTTTTTTTCAAACAAATCAACATTTTATTTCATTTCTAAAAAATTATTACAAGGAAGAAAATGTAGACAGATCTGCCTCCATAACAACCCAACTCAAAAAATTTACAAAGAACTATCCACATTTTACAAAGAATGAGAAAAAATCAAAGAATTATTGATTCTCAAAACTGGTATTCCTCTCTCGTTTTGAACCATCAACATCCTCCCCGTGCTTGGCATCGTGTCCATCGCAGAAAAAACAGTAGAAGCTCTCACCTGCACTGTCTGCTTGGAAAGAAAGAACTAGATTCTACCAAATGCTTTTTGTGTTTTAATTTATGTCATTTTACTTAATATGCACTGTTCATCAACATTTTTGATGTTGTGACGAAAGCAACCGAGTAAATTGTTCATCAATATTTTTCGAAGCCATTGGGTTTCGTTGTAATGTTTGATGGTTTCCTATTGGATGTTTCATTTCTAAATTTTTTTTGTGGCTATTGATTTTTTTTCCTTGGAGCCATTCTGCTTCAATTTTTTGTGGTCTTGCAGCGGTGGTTCAACTAAATTAAGAGTGTTATTCTTTGTGTTCATTGGGTGACTAATTCAATATTGTATCACAAAAAAATGTTATACCATAATTAACCATCGAATGATGATGTCTTTCATATGCAAAACCATCTTTTATGCCTCTACGAGTTAGATATACGGACCATTACATAGTTGACGGCCTGTTAAGTTTTTTTTTTTTAACTTGATAGGGGGTAGATGAAGCTAGGACAATAGGCAATTTATTTGCATAATAAAATTATTTAGGTCCCTATAAGTGGTAATGTTTTTTATTTCTATTTTGGTCAGGAAATGCATTGGTTATACAAGGAGTAGTTGTCATGTTAAGACTTTTATATCCTTATTTCTTATTTATTCAACTACCTGAGCACTATTTCGATTCGGCACTACTTGGGTTTAGTAAACTAGGCAAGTGGGCATAAGTGTGATTTTGTGTTTTTGTTTGGTGAATGTGAACTAATTTCGTACATTGTTTTTAGGATTTGTTTGGTCTGATTAGAATTGTTGATTGTTTTGGTTGAGGTTTGAAATGCTAAATTTGGGTTTTTGACGGAAATGCTATGACGAATTTTTTGTTTAAGGGTTGCATGTATTCATTTGTTTGCCAATATCCATACATGATGATATCAAGGTTTGCACAAGTACCATTGTTCTCCTCGGACCATTGGTAAGGGCATTGAGTACTAGTAATGTGACGACTTGTATAAAAATTAATCACCAATACGCTAATTAGGTCATCAATTATGATTCTATATAACTTAAGGTTACTTTTAAAAATTTTAAATAATAAATGGACTTCAAATATGAATTCTTTATGTGAAAACAAGTCGAATGACTTTAATATATGTCATATTTCATGTTAAAATAAAAAGGTCATAGTGTCTTAGTGATACATTTGTAACACCTCGCATAAATCTCATTTCAAACTAATGTCATTCTTTTCTTTCTTCATGAGCGTCTTTATATATTTTTTGAATTTTCATGTTAAAAAGATTTAACATGTATAATTTCGTTGTTATTGCAATAGATTTTTTTATTGCTTCAATTGATAATTTTGGATTTAATATTACTACTATGTTGCTGCAATTATTGATAAAATGGTTATACTGAAGCATGAATGCGACGTGATTGTGACACCCCAAATTCATGGGGTCCGTTAATTTCCCATCAACCCACAGAATGCCCGTGGATACCGTATAACTCGATATCGTATCGTTGTGTCCCATTTATCGGGATCCATAATTTAACGAAATCCGGGCAGAGTCTCCTTTGTACAGGAAGCTCTACCCTAAAACACAATCTGTGCAATCAACATTTACATGACCCATCCGAGGTCCAATATAATACCATAACCACACAGGGTCTATTTTATACATAAAACTTGACCACACCGGATCCAATCATCATATTTATATCAAAATATGCAAGGTTATATTAAAACAGTCCATATATACTCTATTACAATTCCTTTACACATTACATGCTAAAATTTAATTACAAATTTACTTTTACAAAAAAAAATGGATTGGAAGCCACAAGTCGACTTTTCTTCAACCATGTGACCCTGATTGTGAGCAGTCCATTGGTGCATGACCCACACCTGAAATGTTTCCCGTATAGGGTGAGCCAATGCCCAGTAGAATAATCCCTACAGAGGCTACTCATCACCTAAAATGCATATGCAATGTATAAATGCAACATTTCACAACAAGTATTCCCTCCAACAATAACATATAATACAATGTTGGAAAATCATGATGCCATGCCAAGTAATGAGATGAAACTCACCCATGCATGCTATCCCGAGCCCACACCGACTCCCACAACACAATACGACACTTACGTGTAAAACAAACGTCTTTGATGAAACACATCCAAAGATCATTTTGAAATCAACCATATGTCATAAAACTAATTCATTCTTGGATGTTTCCCATCAAATGAATAATTTATATTTCAAAATCATGTGCCTTTATGGGGTATCGGATTCAGGAATCGCACCTCCGGCTCCGTACGCCGTTACACTTTTCTGGAATTTCACCGCCGGTAAGTGTATGAACCAAGTGGTCGGGTTTTTCACCCGAGGGAGTGTCTAGCCCTACTTGCTATACCCGACACAAGTTTTCTTATGCATGTCACCGTGCGACTCCGTAGGACGTTCCATCCCACTTTCCCGAGCCTACCATCAAGTACCAATGTTGGTGTTGATCACCCCATGCAACCCTACACCCACACTCATGCATGTAGCCCATGAATGTGATGTTAATTCCATGTCCATATTGCAATGCATGCCAAATGACAATTTTTAAATATCATTGTATACCATGACAATTAATATCATTTGCATATAATCACATAACCATTTCAAGTTCAATATATCCAAGAGCATATATCAACACTCCATCAACATGATAACACATAATACATGCTAATATTACATTTAATTCACAAGGCATAATATAAAACACAAAGCATGCCCACATGATCCCAATTTCCAAGGGATTACATAAATACTTCCATATACCAAAATCAAGCCAAGATTTTATATGGATCATTCAAACAAAATAAAAATCAGAATATATGATTTTTATATAACCAATTATCTAAACCTTCAAGAAATCACAAACTAACACTTTCTAACTACCAATTCACACTAGAATTGATCCTACCCATTTCCATAGCACCAATCATAATGGAAAAATATTAGAAATACCCAAAACAGCCCACATGAACCCTATGGACACCTTAGGTTAGAAATAGGTCCGAGTAGGAGGAACCCTACCTCTTGAAGCGTAAAGAATTTGTAGGAAGCCTCAAGAACAAGATTGAAGTTCAAAGCTTAGATTTCTCCAAAATCCTCCCTTTGAATCTTCGGTGAAAATCTTTGTTTTTGGTACCCACGCGTAGCTCTCGTTGCGTAGATCGACTTTAATTCTTGGCCCGACGGAACTCCGAGAATCGGCGAAAGAAAGCTTGAAGAATTATATTTTTTTCTTCTTTGCTCTTGGGTTTGATCCAGCCGGCCAAATGAAGAGCAAATATCTGATTTTTCAGATATTTGCCCACTTTTATATTTTCTAAACACTTGGCCCTCGTCGCGCCAAGTGTCGTCCTTTGTTCGGATCCGTTTTCATCCCGAAACGATTAAATTTCGTACCGATTTAAGCTCAAAATATTTTATATGAAATTTATTTAAAATATTTTTTAAATTTTCAAATTTTTATAAAAATTTCATTTTTAGGGGTCATCGAACACCCGTCACCTCGAAAAACGTGAAAAATCTGATTATCTCAAAATTCGACGAAATTTGTCTGGGTAACTAGATTTGGTGAGACGAATCCAACGGTGAGGTCCGTTTCATCATCCGAGGTCTATAAAAATACCAGTTTTTTTTAACCCACACTATAATGGCAAATTACCATTTTACCATTTTTTTCAGAAAAAGTTAAAATTTTTCCCGGGTTTCACATTCTTCCTCCCTTAAAAGAATTTCGTCCCCGAAATTCACATACACATGCACATACAATCACATGCATATACAACAGTCAATTAATGCTAAATGACCAGAAGAATGTACCTCCATCCTCGAACAAGAAAGGATAACTAGTACGGACAGTGTCCTCGCGCTCCCATGTCGCCTCCTCTACTCCTCGATGCTGCCACAGTACCTTCACTAGCCGCACAGTCTTGCCTCGCAAAACCTGTTCCCGGCTATCCATGATGCGCACCGGTCCCTCCTCGAAAGTCCCATCAGCATCAACAACAAGCTCTCCCCAATCCACCACATGAGTCGGATGTGGGGTGTACTTCCGAAGCATAGAGACATGGAATACTGCATGAACATGCGATGCTAGATTGCCACAAAAGCAAACGGGAAGAAGAAGATAAAATGGGAAAACAGGCGTATAGCCCTAAGGAGGAAGGGAAACAGAAAACTGGGATTTTGAAGAAAGGTCAAGACCTCAAGGGGAAGGAAAAGGAATGGCAGAAAGTTACAAGAAAAGGGGGTCCCAAAGTAACCGTGGAGGAGGGTCACCAAGTTCCTAATAGTTTATTGTATCCTAATGGCTTAAGTGAAGGAGTTATTGCGGCTAATAAATTCAATGTGCTAAACGGGGATCATTCGGGCAAGGATGTAGGAGAGGAGGAAAATGCTGAAATGGAGAATCATAACGGTACTCCAATAATTGAAAATAGCACCACTGGAGGATTAGAAGCAAAAGAAAAAGAGGACTTGTCCCTCTCAACGTCTAATCATGAAGGAATTCAAGGAGTAGGAGTGGAAAATGAAATGTCTTCAAATGCAGGAAGTCCATCACGGAGCTTTGAGGGCATGAAGGTCTACGAGGTTATCGGCACTCCCTCTCAAACTCAGGGGACAGGGCCTGATGAGGTGCAGCAAACGGTTGGTATAATAGTGTGATTATTGAATAAACAATCTCTTTCTTCTACCTCTTCTTCCTTCCTTGTGGATCATTCATACGAGCCTAGAGGAAAACAATTTGCACCGTAGAT